CAAACACTGAAAAAATAATGGTAAATTATTGTTTTCCAGTTTTCCAAGGCATTTGCAACTTGTGTGAGTCTTCTGAAAGTCTTACGTAAACAGGTGTATTTTAGCAAATTTTTCCAATAAAATTCTATTAGCTGAAAGAAAACAAATGTGTTCTGTTGGAATTGTTTATGTGAATGTCAGTATTCTTTAAAAAGGGAGGGCTGAAGAGACACCTCCCAGACAAAGAGACAAATCTGAAGTGCTGTTTTCACTTAATAGTTTGTTAGGACATCAAATACATATCCTTTAATGAGAATTAATGTGCTGTAGCTTAATAATTCATGGACTGGCAATGAAAGCCCTTTCATTTAATGGAGTACTGCTCCTTCCACTGCTGAGGCAGGTTGTGTTTTTCCCTGAAGGTCAGGGGTGTGCCATTCCTCCATGAATTTAATCAGATGTTAAACCCTGACACCTCCAACCATTCAGGCCCAGCTCAGCAGGGTTTTACACATTTTCAGGAACACCAGAGCAGCAGGAAAACTGGAGGTGTCTGTTCTGTCAGGATCAGAAGCAGCTGTATTATGCAACTGTGATCACATATTTATCAAATATTGTCTTCCCTCCTCAGTACTGCTGGTGGAAATTAATTCTTCCTCTCTGGGTACCAGAAACTTTTCTTTTAATCTTATGCCAAAATTTATATCCATTAGTTATTACACCAGTGTATTCCTTTCACTTAAATCATCTGGATTTACAGAAAATGCTGGTGCTAGGCAGAGCAAATGGAGCTCATATATATTTCTGCCCAGTCTTACCATACCTGAACTAGAACTTGATTTTTTCTCTAAATCCAATCTTTGTTTCTTGATGGATTTCAAAGAGCTTTATTTATTGCCTAAGTGCTATTCATAAATAACACCCTTTTCCACCTGTTCACTTTTCTGCCTTGTTTGCTTCTTTTTTCTATATCCTCATCTGTGGATATGCCTTTCCCACATGGAATTGTAGACATACTTTAGCAGAATGCTCTCCTTTGATGCCATCAGACTTGTTCAAGGAATCAGAATTCCTTGTGTCTCTGTAATTCCATCTCCTCCCTGAAAAAGTTCCCCACCCACTTCTTCAGCAGTCACCAAAATATTCTTGCCTTCTGGACAAGCCAAAATCAAAATATTCTTGTCTTCTGGACAAGCCAAAATTCTTACTAATGACCATTTCTTGTTTTCTGACCATGGTCTGGCACAGCACAACCACTGCATTTGATGTGGTGATGATTTGAAAACAATGGGATATTAAAAAATTGATCCTTAAAAATCCAGTAAATGTTTCCTGTAGACCCTATGTCTACTTCCATTATGAGAAATGTATTCCTTTGCTTCCACATCATTTTTACTAACTGAAACAAAGATTCAGGCCAATAACTGGGATTCAGACCTTTCCCAGCTTAGCAGCTGATAAGCAGTGACACAGATCCCTCTTGTGGTGTTGGAAAGGTTCTGAGGTTTCTTCTCTGTGGGCACACACCATTATCCTCCAGGTCTGGACACCCCTCCTTGCCAGGTTCTTTCCTCCTCCACTTCTCTTTAGACTCCCTCTCATTTTCTCCTTAATTTTCCAGTGGTACCAAAAAGCTTCTTAATTCAGCTCTTGTTTCACTGCTGCTCCTCTCTTGTGTTTCTCATGTCTTCCCCTAACCTACAAACCTCCTCTCTGGATTCTCTTCCCAGGCTGAGAGATCATGATCATCTCTTTTGACACTTCAGTTTTTTGCCTGAAGTTTGACATTTTTTTACAGCTGCTTCTTTAGTCCATGGCAATTCTCTTCTGTGAAGCATGCAATTTATCATATATAAATAGTAGAGGCACTCAAAAATACCAGCTTGCAGCAGCTTTTTACAGCCAGTTCTCTTCAGCTTCCTCCTTTCTTCGAGCGTTTTTCTACTGCTGCTTTAACAGACACGATGCATTTGCTCTTTGCCTTAAATTCCCATTTCAGAAGAGGAAAAAAAACCCACTTCCTCATAGATCTTAAAGATTTTTATCCTGTTTGCAAGCCTGGACCACTTCTAGCCTTGAGCTTTTGTTGGGGTCAGTCCTGTCATGTAACTGCAGCTAACAGCCAGATCAGGGGCAGGAAATATAGAAAGATTCTGATCCAAAACACCTGATCCAACTCCATACCCTTTCCAAAAGACAAAACAGACAAATAACAGCAAAAAAAAAAATTCTTAGGAGAAAAAAATAAAGTTTAGGTTTTGATTTATTCAACAATTTCCTGCAAAGACTCCTGTGTACCTCTCTCTGTGTTCTGCCCTTCACTGAGCATAAAATGTCCTGCCAGTTTTCAGCAGGCCACTCACGGCTTCCAGATTTTCCCTGCCAGCAATTGCAATGTTCATTCCTATGCAGGACAACTCCTTTAAACTGAAGAATAGAACCCTTGATTCACCATTTGTCCACCCATAACATGAAGAGCAAATCCTCTGAGCCTGGATAAACACAGTCTCATTTTGCAGGTGTCCTTCTCTTCTGAGGTGTGGAAAGAGAGCTGGGACTTGTAGAGCATCTCCACAATTCCCTTTGTGCTCCTTGGGGTCAACATTAGTGAGGATTAAACTTCAAAAAGCACCATCCTCAGTTAAAGTGTGTCATTGTTTTGCACATGCACAGAAACACCACTCCAAGTCTTAGAAAACATTTCCATGGTGTAGTGGAGGATAACCTGCCAGTGGAAGTACAAAATAATCCTGCATCCCACTGCTTTGTATTTTATTTGACTTCATGTGGACAAATAAACCGGAAAAGCAGCATATGGAGAGAGACTAAAAATTGAATATCATATCCCAGTGCTCTATCAGCAAGAGCTAAACAAAACACATCAATAACAGTCAAGAGTTGTAGCCTGGGCCATCTGGTCACAAAGGTTGTATTGAAATGTTTTAATCTCAGGGTTCTCCCTCAGGCACAAAGGCACAATATGTAAAACCTTAAATCCTGCTAAAAGGTGAGATTTCTCCACCTACCAACACAGCATGCCTAGGATAGTTATTTAATTAAGAGCTACCCTAGTGAAGGGTGTGGAAATGGCAAGGCAATAATCCAATTCCTGAGTGGGGATGCTGGAAAGCCAGGAACAGCACAGAGAACAGGCTTGACACATGTACTTCCTTGTTAACCTAAATACTAATTGAAATTTTTGCAATTAATTTGAACAAAACACTCTTTTCACTTGTCCAGTGCAGTATCTCCTTCCTGATATGCATATATCAAAAATTCATGAAGGAAGTCCTCTAAAATTCCTATTTTTTTTCCTTTATGGTGTGTTTCCTAACTGTGAAATAAAACTCAATTAATTGTCCTCCCCCTGCTCTGCTCTTTCCACACATCTGCCCAGCTCCCCACTAAGTGCTAATCAGCATTTCACCTGTTGGTTGCTGCAATCACTTCCAAACAACCTTGTGCAATTCCAGCCAGCACAGCATGGGGTGGAGAGCAAGAGGAAATCAGAACAAATTAATAAACCACACTGGTAATTTGCTAAAGCAGGGGAAAGTAAGGGAAATTAAGAAAGAAAAGGAAAATAACACCCTGGAAACCTGACTTCCATGTGAACACCCAGACAGGATCACGTGGTGGCACCACAAAGAACAAGCCAGAAATCTGAAATTATCCTTATCAGTTATTCCATGCAGTCAGGAAGGCTTCACGTTCCTTCTCATTTTTGAAACTCTGTTATAACATGCAAATCACTCATTCTCTGGATGTTTTGCCTCTTCCCCAAAACACCACAGAAACCACACAAATCTGCAAGGTCCTTCTGCAGGGATTACTGCAGAGCAGAGATGGCAAAGGGTTTTTTCCTGAGGTTCAGGACAAACCAATGCCCAGCAGGAGCTGTCATCCATCAGCCCTTGTGGTGCCCCAAGAGGCTTCTGAAGATGAGCCCCAAAATATTTTGGAAGAGGAAATAAACACGTTCCTCACACAGAAGTGGGCAACTAAGTGAATTTTTAAAAATTCATGAAGCTGTGGAAAGTGTTGGATATGGAAAAGCTATGGAAAGCTATGGATATTGACAATAAATTTCTGAATTTAAGGGAGTGAGATGAACAGCTTTTTCTCCAGCTTGTGCAGGATCTGAAGCAGGTACAGGAACCAGTACTCTGAATTATTAAACTCATTCATTGTGGGTACCAAGACCTCACAGCTATCTTGTGAAGATATGTGACAAGTCAGAAAGACCTGAAATAACTGCTTTTCTTTTCAGCATTGATTTTGGCTGAATTTCTTCCCTACAATCAGTAGGTCTGAGTCCAAACATTTTTATTTATGCTTTGTTTACCATTCAGTTGCAAATTACCACAGCTGACCTAGAATATGTCATTCCATTCTCTTAAATACCTCTAAAACTTTTGTCTCCCCTGACACATGCATAATCTCTCTTTCTGTTTGCAATATTTTCCAGCCAAATTAATCATCTGGAAACCTAAATTGGAGCTATGCTGAGAAAAACACCATAAAAGATTGCAAAAATTATGACATCTCCAAGTATTTCAAGGTGCTGATCATTTGAAATTCCTATAATTTCAATATTAGCTGAGGACAGATTTCTCAGGGCCTTTGAAAAGCAGAGTGCCAGATGCTCTCACATTTCTGTCTTTGTACATCCTCTGAGGCACTTGTGATACCCACGAAGCACTTCAGGAACAGGGACAAATCAGGATGACAAAATGCCAGGAAAAAATTGCAGCACAAACAGGGCCTGGTTTGTCTCCTTGTGCCTGAGGGGCCCAGAATTCCCATCTTAAACTCCCCATAAGAAATTCTTAATGAAGGAACTTCTACAGAGAGACTCAGGCAGCCTGAGATCAAAAAATTCACTGTTCACAAGCAGAAGGGATGGAAGAGGGTAGGAAGAAATCTGGAATATTACCACCAATGTGACAGGCACTGCAAAACTATAAGAGTGATAGATCAATTACTTAATATCAACATTTGATCCAGTTTTGTTGACTTACCTTGCCAACTAATCTGGGGAATGGAGGTCTTTGATTTTCAGGAATTAGTATTGGAGTTGCCAAAATAGCCCTTTTTTGTCTTGGAATTCCAAGGCTGCCTTCTAGTTTTAAGATTTCCTGAAAAAGAAAAAGACTAATTAGTAAAACTAAAGTTATTCAATTGTTATTCCCTTTCCCTGCACCTTAGGTAAAATTCCCATGAACTACCATATTCTAAGTTTAGTCTGATATATTTTCCAGCAATTAGTGATAACATATCAAAGCATGTGTTTCATCTTTCAGGTTACTGCACTTTTTTCAGTGGCAGTGGACAGCCTATATTGATTTTGTACTCATGTAAGGTGTGTCCACAATCCTAAACTGATAGCTGATTAAATCACAAGCCTTTAGCAAGGCCTGATTTACCTCAAATACTTGCACTTGTGCTGCAATTTTTGCACAAGACCAGTAAAAAGCCACGTTTCAAATGTTTTTAGAGAATTGTCTCTAAAGATATATATGATAATATCTCTGAAGACATGGATGAGGATGGACATCATCTACACTCAGTCACCTCTCAGCCCAGGCTTCCAATCAAGCACAACAAAGTGAATTTGCAAACACAGTCCACAGGTAATGAACACTCAATAAACACCAAAAACTTATAACTTCAAATCAGACACCAAAGCCCAGGTGTAACTTCAGATATGAGCTAGTAGGTTGTTGGTGTTGGATGTTTTGCTGTGTTGGGGTTTGCTTTCTCTTAGAGAAAGCTTCATGCTATGCTCTCAGAAAGAATAAAAATAAAAGTTGTATGTACACAGAACTCCTTTTTCTGCAGCATTTTCTGGAGCCTTTCTTTCTGTCTGAGCTTCAGGCAGTTCAGCACATCATGAGCTACAGTGAGCTCTCCACAGTGGCCTCTGCCCCTGGAAAACTCTGCCCACCACACCTTTGCTGTCTCTTCCGTTCTGTCTCTGATCTGCTCAGTGCCCTCCCTGCAGGAGCTGCAGCTTCCCAGAGACCACTGTCCTTCCTCTGCTTCCTCCCACAGCCTCTGCAACTCTCTTCTCCAAGCACAGTTACTACCAGGGTCAAAAAAGCCTCTCCCCATCTCCCAAAGCTCTCCCTTGATCTTTTTTTGGAAGAGAAAAAAACAACATAAAAAAACCCCACAAAGCAAACAAACACCCACAAACAAATGAAACAAAACAACCAAAACCTAACAACAACAAAATGTCCAGATTTGTAGTGCATTGGGAACTGTGGAACTGAAAAATATTTCAATCACTTCTTTTCATTTGGGTTGCCATGGCAGTTTTATTAAAAAATCACTGTTTGAATTAAATGTCTCATTCCAGCAAGGCAGTTATATCCTACAGATAGCACTTTGCTCTCTTAATGCACAAACTCCAAACCCCAAAGTTTTCAGCCAGTTCTGGAATCCATGTTGTTGTTTTAACAACTGATTCTTACACAATCAAAGCTCCATCCCCAGGCTGTGTTTTTATAAAATGTCAAAGCTGAATGAGTTTTTTTGGTGGCACAATCTGGATCCATCAGCCAAGTTCTCCACAGCTGCTCCTGCCTCCGTCTGTGGCAATGCCGCCAACCCAGCGAGCCTCTCACCACCCAACTCTGCTCTACCTCTGCTGGCTTTAGCATCATTCCTCAAATTTGACAACAAACAGGAGCAAGGGAAACTCAAGTTTTCACCAGTTTGCTTTAGTCATGATGAAGTCAAAGAGCAGTGGGAAGCACACAGAGAATCCCTTCTCACAATGTTGCCAATTTTCATAACATTTTGAGGCTCCCCTGGTAGAGTTCCCAGCTCTCCCAAAGGCTTTGCCATTCCTCTCTAATCTTTCAGTCTGAAGGCCACTCAGGTCCCTGCTTCTGTCTTTCAACTCCTCTCCCAAGAGTTTTCCCTGATAAAAATTCATGAGAAAGTTCAAGATAAAAACAGTTGAAGTGTCAATGACAAGAGCTGAATCCTGTCCAAAGGCAAATGCACAGAGCAGCAAAGCTTTCAAAACCTCTCACACTGTAAACACAGAGGGGCTGGCACATGCCTGAGATGATCCTGAGGAGCAGGAGTGACTCCCAGCATGGCCACAAGGAAACCCCAGCTCTTCAGCTCAGCAGCAGCAACATTTATCTGCTCACACTTTCTGTCCTGCTCCTACTCTCACGGTTTCCTTCAGCCCGGGGAGAAGTAGGGATTTCACCTGGGAGTCTTTGCAAATGAACAAGACACTCAGATCTGCTTATCTTTGTGTCATGGAAAGGTTTGGGTTGAAAGGGACTTTTAAAAGCCATTTGGTTCCACCTGCAGTAAGCAGGGACATCTTCCACCAGATCACCTTTCTCACAGTCCCATCCAACAAGACTTTGAATGGGTCACATTTCTTTCTGTGACAGTTTGAGTAGGAAAAGCAATTTCCAGCTTGTTCAACATCTAGGGCTCACAATTTTGGTAGCCATAGACACATAAGCAGTTAGACCCATCACTTGCCCATGACAGGTTATCCTTACACTTCCCAAAGATTCTCAAATGGAAGAAAAACTCAAATTATATTCAGGGAGTCATTAATATAAAGAAGTGAAGTTCTAAAGGAAAGCAGTAGGATGGTAAGACTTAAGGCCTTTAAGTCCAGATTTCTAAGCAGAACTTCAGAACAACAACAAAAAAAGAGAATTATTGCCTTTCGTTTCTAACACAATTGTTCTGTTTCATGGAGAAGGAGGTTCTGCAGATTAAGCACAGAAATGTAAGCACTTCCCTGAATGTGTTTCATACACTTCAAATCTCACTGTGTATTTCTAAATAGTGATTTCTTCATTATTTCTTTCCTATCATCCCCTGGTGTCTAACAGCAATGACTGATTAAATGAGTGGCCAAAAGCACCTCTAGGGAATGCAGGTAAGCAGAGGAGAAGAAAAGGTCAAGAATACTTCACCAATTGAATAATTGACTGGTGTTTGTGGTTATCATGATTTCCACATTTGTAAAGAACTGAGGAAAAGGAGAAACATTTTGCTTAGTGCCAAGCAGCTGCAACTGCAAGTTTGATCCTCAGTGGGTATAAAAGAAGGAATCTGCCAAGGATCTGACATTACACATGCACTTAACACCTGGCTCAACAGCTGATAACTCTCATTCATGGGTGGATATATTGGATATATAATAATTCTTACTGCATTCACCTATTTAGTTTCTTGGAGAAACAACTCACAAGGGATATAAAATCACTCCAGGTAGAGTTGGTAATTTTGCTCCAAAAGTTCTTAAAATACCGGGCTGGCAATGCCACAGGAGTGATCTTTTGGACCTTGCCATGAGTGAATCCCCACAGGAGTTCTCCATCACCTTTGCTGGAGCCAGCTGATCAAAACCACAGAGGCTCCAACAACTCCAAGTGAGGATTTTTGGCCTGTCCCAGGTGGGTGTGTCCCACCAGCACCCAGAGAGATGATGGCTGGGGTCCCATCTGCTTCTCCCTTCAGTGCTGCCTTGAAATACAGGAACATAAAAGTGTCTGTCCACAGACACTCACCCATAGGCAAAATTTAAAACAGGTATAATATAATGAATTCTCACCTACCTAAAAATAAAGTGCACCAAAATAAAAAAATTCGATTTTTTTGATTGTTTTTGGTGGGTTTTTTTAAACAAAAATGGTAGGAGAGAAATCCTATCAGGTTTGTTATTTTTACTGCTTAACTACAATTCCATATCTGTGATCATTGTATTTCACATGATCAATGAAATATACTTCTCATGGTCAGTGGGTTATGATCAGAATCCAGCTATTACTTCACTGCCACCATTTCATAACCAACTTTTACACTTTCTTTTTGAGTTTCTTAATTGCCCATGGAATCAGCTCAGCCATAGTTTAGCTGATTCACTAAATCAATAAACTTTGGTTATAAAGTTTGGCAATAAAGTTTGATTTCCTGTTCCCAATAAAAAAGCACCAAACACAGCCTCCTCGTTTTTCCAGCATTTTGGCTAAACTTGAATTGAGAGATGCCAGCCTGCCCAAACTACACCACCATGCAAGCTGGAATTTCCCTGCATCCTTCAAGAACTCTCCTCTTTGTTCTGTTTATTCCTTCTTTTTACCAGGCCTTCTTGCAGGTCTTGAATATTTGAATGAATGGCCTGGTCACTCTCCAGCAGCACAAACCATTACTCTTGGCAAAGAAAATTTCATTAGAACTTGTCATGGGAATAGGGTGGCTGAATTCTGGGATCGATTTGTCACAATAAGGGTTGGAAACACTGCTGGAGTGGCAATCTGAAATCCACTGTGGTGACCAGAAAAGTGCTTCAGTTTCTTGTCATTTAGTTGGTCTTATATACTAAGGTTGATGGTATAAAATGGGGTCAGCCCTAAATACAAAAAAAAAAAATTAATTGGATGCTTGTTGCAAGCAAAGTTCGTCTGCAATAGGGAATGGGGTGTGGTAATCTGAGGTATATTGGTTTTCCTACAAAATAACATCACAAAAATGCTGAAAAACTAGAACTCTTTGCAGGTGAACTTAAGAAATAATTTTTATATAATTCTCAGTTGAAATTTTAAATCATGCTGTAATACTTAATTCCTTTATGTGTGTTATTTCTACCATCAGAATATTCTTATCATCAGCAGTATTGAAGTTAATTATTTCTAAAATATATGCCTAAACCAGAAAAATATTTTCACATGTTGGTAGTAATATAAAAAATCTCAGAAATGTGCTGGAACTTTAAATTAATGAACAAGTATTTAAACAAATAATGAACTCAATGAATAAATTTAAGAAATTTAAAGGTCAATGGCATTCACACAAACATCTGCTCAAAAGCATTCTGTCCTCAATGCCCGTAAATGTCACCCCAAAAATCACTTTGTGTGCTTGGGAAGAACAAACCCAGTAAAATACAGCTGGCTAAGGGAAATTGGGTATTTCAGAGAAAAAAAAAACTTCCAAGCTGGTGATGCATGGGCAGATACAATAGCTAATGGAAATTGCTGGTGAAACTTGATTTAATTATTCCTTCTCCTATAATTGTGCCATAAGTGGAGAGGCAGAGCCTCACAGTGCCCATTTCTGATCCATCCATTAACTGCAGAGACACTCAGAG